TGGGTGTTAGGCCAGCTCCCTATCTTCTGATGAAAAAAAAAATGCAATGTTAAAAAGTTCAGAGAATAGCCACAGACTAAGTCCAAGAAATTATTCAACCCAAGAGGAATAAAAATGATTTTGAAGATTAAAAGATAAGAAAATGGATGTAAATAGAAAAATGTTATTGAGCCTTACTACAAAGCTGAAGATAAATTGCAAAAACGTGAAGAGATATTTAACAACAATATTCTAAAAAACTATTTAAAACAACAGTCTTCATAAAACCTCATATTCTTAGTAAGACAAATTAAATTCTACAACAAAAATTGTTGAATACTGTCTTACAGAAATTGACTTTCCCCAAAGCCATTCACTCAATTTTTTTTATTTGATACTGATGAGATGTAAATTATTGAATTGTAGAATGAAAATATTAAGTTTTGTTCAAAAAACAAAATGAGATAATCTGACCATTCTGAGGGTATCCCAAGCTTATAAAGTTATAAGAAAATGGAAATGTCATATGCATAATTTTCAATTTGATAAGATAGGTGGTTTCAATTTTGTAATGTCATAACCCGATGCAGTAATGGCCAAAAAATAAACTGCAACATGGAATGAGTGGATAAGCACAACAGGTTGGCATCAAAATGCCCCCCCTAAGCAGCAAAAATTTCTACTTTTTATTTTAATAAGAAAGTTGTACACATTGTGAATGCATCGGTAATACCAATGATAGTTAATTGTAAAGTAAAAGCTCCTCTTTTAAAACTGAGGCACATTTGATATTTAATACAATGTGAAAAATCTGTAATGGGAAAATGTGACAAGAAATGAGATGCTGCTTAAGAAGTGCAGAGTAATCAACACTTTGCATAAAATGAAATATTACACTGTTTGTTAACTTCTTAAATCCTCCCCAAATGAACTACATATATGGTCAGATGAAAAAGGGAGAAGTCAAAAAATAAAGAGATGAGTTACATACACCATTATGTAGATTGGTCATACATTCGGAATTCTGGAACGAAGAGTTAAGAATGATACACAAAAAGTGAAATATTGGTAACTTATATATTTTAACATTAATTTAACTTGTTGAGGATAGACTGAATTCACTTTTCCAATCTGCCTCAGAAATATGCATCACAATTACATGATTTTCTAATCTTATCAAACAGCAGTAATTTTTTTTTTTGTTTCTATGTCATGTTTGGCAATGTCCTGATACACAGGACATAATTTTCCACCCATTCAGGATTGAAATAAAATCAAATGAAGTATCCTTCCTTGATCTAGTTCTCAACTCAAATAAAAGACATGAATTTCATATAAAAATAAAGAAAATAATAGTAATAATTAGATCAATAATCAGCACTATCTTTTTGATAACTAACTAACTATGAATAACTACATCTTTTTGAGTTGAAAAGGACATGCTTACTCTTACTTCATTAGTTTTCAGAAATATTACTTCCAAGTTCTGATATTGCAAGGCAGAAAAAGGTGGATAACCTTTAAACACAGGTTTGGGTTGGTTATTACAAAATAGAATAGTCCAGGAGTTAACTGACTTTGTAATGAAAAGTTGCTGCAACCCGATTCCCAACTTGGATAATTTCTGAATTAACATATTCTTGCTATGATATTTTCAATTGTGTTCTGTACATTTCAGTATGAGGGAAAGTGGATCTTTTGCACTACTTAATATTGCACAGTTAATCAAAATTTGGGTATTTGCTGGGTGGATCTTTAATTTTTCTTTCTAATATATTAATTTAATATACAGTACAATACAAACTTATCTTAATTTAATCCAAGCACATTTTAGTTCATTAGATATATTATTCACATTTTCTTTAGAATAGAGTAATCTTCACAAATTTAATATCCAGCACATTTTGTAAAAACCGTGACTTCCCAGACACTTCCAGGGTTTATGTAGCTCTAGGTTTTATACGTAAGCAGTCTACCTACAGACAGCCACGTTTATTGATAAGTCCCCAAGCAGAACAATGTTTCGTATATTCTCTCATATGCTTTATGCAATATCTTCAAAATATGTGTTTGCAATAAGTATAAGGACAATTAGTTTGATACAAAATTTAAGATATATGTACTTAATTTAATAAATATACTATCAGAATCATAAAACTAGCATTTACTGTTTCGGACTCATAATAATGATAATGATGATAATAATAATAATAATAATAATAATAATAATAATAATAATAATAATAAAAAGGAGAGGGGGAGAAAGAGAGAAAGAAATGGAGAGAGACAGACAATATTATTAAAGCCAAAACTAACCACTTACAAAACATTAAATTAAATTTAAAAAAAAAGAAAGAAAAAGAAAGACATATAAATGTTTGTACTGACACTCCAATGGTTCCATTGCTGTAACCGTGGAAGGCAAGTGCTATTTGGTTTGCAATTCTAATCGCACTTAAGTATCAAGATTCCACAAATATCCTTTATCTAATGAGACTTCAAGTCCACAATAGTGACTGATGTGACAGTTGTAATAAATCATTAGGCAACAAGAATGTTGTCCACACAACACCACTGAGCAATATTCTGGTGTATATACCAGCATATTTTGAGCAAATATCACTGCACTATGTCCCACAGGTAGTTGCTTTTCGCCTAGTTTTAATACTTACAATCAGAATTTAAACGGATACCAGCACAGGAATGGTTGAAAGTGACTAGACTTGAAAAAGAACTGGCTAGACATTTAAAAAGTGTTTGAAGGTACTTTACCTCTCGGTTCGAACTACATTACTTATGATACATTTTTCATATACTTACATTATTAAACATATTTAAAGAAGTTGCATGGCTTTCTACTGGTATCAAAGATGTTATTAATATAAGATGGAAAGAAACCATTACCATTGTAATACCTTGATAACCTATTTCCCATGGATACAGAGTGATTTCCATCCAGTATAGCCACCAGTCTTTTGTGAAAATAGTATGATCAAATAAAAATTATTACAAGATGCCTACGGTATATATTCTAACTTTTGTGGCAAGAATAGAATAATTTTAAATTTACATACAATACTTAAATTCTTGATCGTTACATTCAAATATTCCTTATAAGTAAATTAATTTACCCATGGTTTCTAGATGCACATTTTCAATCATGCACAAGAAGTGTACAGAAATTATGTTTTTACATTTTGTAACTAATAAAATGTTTAACTTTTTCTTGATATGGTTCCTTTAATGAAAGCACTTACTTCTTCACAAGTTTTCCTTGTTCAAATGCAAAAGTTAAATAAAGAACACAACAGTTGTCAGTACATTAAAACATTACACGCATCTGCACAAAAGAATTAATACACTCACTTCCCAACAAGTTATCAGAAAACTCTCACTTCCCAACAAGTTATCAGAAAAGAACTGAAAAATAAATATGTTAATAACATTTTATCTTGAATTATTAGCAAATGTTATATTAACTAAATAATTAATACTCAGACTAGTCCAAAAACTGACCATAATTTTCATTCAGTTCTGGACAGCAAAATAACCATGCTGTTTGATGTAAAATGTGACTGTGTACATCAAACTCTCTGCAATACTACTCCATGGAAACAGGCAAATATTAAGTAATCAAATACATACTCCACACACAGTATGGTTACTATAGCAGAACAACAAAGCAAATATCAATTTGGCAATTTACTACCAAACTACAACCTATATTATTTTTTCTACAAGTAATATTTGATGAAAAGCATTATGCAACCATTAGAGAGCCATACACACCCCTTTCCATAAATACATTAAAAACTTTCATTACAAGTTACATTTCTTCAATGTCCTCCTCCCTCAAATCAGGGTAGAATAGAAAAATATCAGAACTTTCGCAATTTCTCCACCGATTAAAAATTAAATCAAGTTAAAAACGCTATTGTTAGCATAAATTCTTCCATTCTTTTACCTATATTCGCTAAATACACACAGTGAATCATAATTCCATAATTCGTACACAAATGCACGGAAATTCACCTTTGTAAATCAAACAATAAAAGACAGGGACAATTTACCTAGTGAAGCAATTGGGACAGGTCGTGAAAGTGTAAATACATTTTTTTTCAAATTATGTAAAATATAGATGTAATGTGTGGCACATCTTGCATTGTACCAATTTGTTTTCTTACATTAATGTGTCTTAAGGCCACAATATTAGTTTTATTTACATTGTAATGTCTTAGAAATTTACTATTGGGTGATAAACGTAAGTAGATCATATATATCTGTCTACATTGAAACATTTTCACTTTACTGTAACAATCAAATGCTTTACTTGAGAAGCTTTACACTCATTTAAATGTCTTTTACTTTCTACCCTATAAACAATATTTTCATTTATCATTCCTTTTTTAACACACAGAGAACCTTGCTTCCTCCTAACCTAATTCACAAAGTACATTAAGAGAACAAAAAGTATTTTGTATTTCAAAGAAGGCAAACTATTCTGCTTTTTAAATAACTTCACTTTTAGAGGAAAAATAAACAGTAACTACCTGTAACTCCATAAAAACACCCACCGAATAACTAGAATGATCTATCATTTAAAAATTAGTACTAATAATGCCTGAAAGCAAATAATATAATCACTAATTCTACCTTTAAGAGAAGGAAGTGGAAGTGCAGTTTTGACAATGTTCTCACACTCAAATGAAGTAACTGTTCTTTTTAATTGTTATAAACAATAGGGGTTCCCTGCAAAAATTATTGCAAATGCTGCCCAGAATATTAAAGCACATTAGATATCAATGCTTAAGTTCCAACATCACTACAAAATCACTTGGCTAACAATGAACTAATGCTTGTTATTAAGTTGTAACTCATATTAATAGAATTAAATACCCAAATTCCACCCGTCACAAACCCTTGGAATACAAGAATTCTTAACCATGTACAAGATGTTAATAAGGTTACCTAATGATTGAAGTGACACTAGTTATGTACATTTAGAGTATTAAAATACTCACCTCTGCCAGGGGCACTTTAAATGCAATGAACGGTGTGCCTGCAATTCGATTGCCCATATTCTTATACGCCAACCATCTGCAATACAGTTTGCAAAATAATACATCGTTTCAAATTACACGTCACTTCCATCACGCCATTAATTGCATTTCCTATTTTTTTCAAGCACTGCGTTCCCATTAAACACCCGCTTAACCAGTCGTGATGTTAAAAGTTATAAACCAAAATGTAATCGATAAACATACTGCTTTCGAATTATTAAAACTAATAACATATTACCCTTAACCTACCGCAAACAACTCATACTGACCTATCTGGAATTCCCTTATTTCTCGTCATTTTTAGAGATTTATGTTCTTATTTCTCTACACAAAATGCTCTATAGAGCAGCAATTTGATCGAAAAATACAATGAAAGTTGTCATGAAATCGTAAAATCAAATTTAGTATTCCATACGAAGTCCAGCCCAAGGCAGAGGCTCATTTCTCATGGAGATTTAATTGCTGTTCGTAATTTCGCGCAAGCTCGGAATACTTTGCAAATTCCTTGGTCAATTTCTCGGCCAGGTTCGCCAACATATCACACACCATTCCATTTTTCCCTACGCGAGTAAAATATTACCTTTTCGTGATACTGTTTCAAATGCAATGGAAAAGTAATACTGCCCAGTAACATTAAATAGTAACTCGCATAGCAAGCTTCCATTATTATTTTTATATGAGTTGGTACGACGTTCCTGAGTATTCGTAACTTGTGACTTCTTTAGAATTACAGTCGACTTCGGTTATAGTAAACTCGGATATAATGAACTCTCAGTTATAGTGAACTTGTCACTGGTCCCATTTCATATACATTACAAATAAGCATAAGTAGGTTCGGTTATAGTGAACCTCATCCTCGGCTATAGTTAACGTAGGAAATGCAACGTCCTGGAAACGAATTCCTACATGGAAAAAAATATGTCGCCTCAGTGCCTCAAATTCCAAAATCCAGGCAGCTTGAAAAAAATGTCGGCCAAAGGTGATAATCGAAGAAGTCTCCCCTGAGGTGAAGGTAGCGCACTCGGAATTACTAACCTAACCTTCCTGATGACCTAATGCCATTCAGTTTCACTGCGCAAACCCTATCCTGCGTGGGCTACAACTGGAGGTAGCAACGCGCGATTTCTTGCTTCAGTTTCAAGCTTGGCGTTACTTGATATTCCGTGAGGCAAAGTGCGCTGTGTTCTACGTAGGTGACAGAAAACGCGCGACTGCCATATCCTAGTAACAACTCTCTTTTACCTACCTTTATTGGGCCATCAAATGATTCCCCTGCAAAAGTTGGTAAAACGTTCCCCTAAACCAAATGGCATATGATTAGTTATACTATAACTCTAACATAAGATTAATAATTTTGAAAGTTTTCTTAGCCTCCGTCCCACCACACACCATCAACAGTCAGAAAAGTGTATATAACGTTTTAAAGCAAAATAACTGAAATATGATTTATTAATAATAGATATTCACAGTAACGCTGAACATTATTATACTCAAGTAATATGACACCATTTTATTATGTTATTAGCTTATCTGAATACAATTATTGTTCGTTTAATTGTTATTAAATTTCTTTTCAAAATACACAAAAAAGTAAATATTTTACAAATCTGAAGGTCGCGAAATGAAATGTCTAAATATAGTGTTAACATGAAAAGAAAACTGCAGACAGTAACGCCATGGTGTACGTTTCTTAGAACATTTTGATCTACGAACGGGTTGGGTTGATTTGTCCAATCAGTGCATGTTCGGCAATGTTCGGGCTTGCTTTGTTACGGACATTTTATGAATACTTTTACTTCGTATATTCAAGATGAGTAATAAAATAAAATTTATACAAAGAAATTAATATAACTTGGTGGGAGGGGGCAATTGCCCCCTCATGCCCCCCTCCCTGAACCAGCCTCTGCCACCCAGCGCTGCGTGGAAAAGCGGTCAGTTTCATAAGCCACTTGGCGCTATTCCGCTACCGAAAGGATCTCGTATGTTATTAGGCGAAGGGCTCTTTGAGAGTGGGACGGTGTTCCAACAGTGGAAGAGACATTGAAGGGTGTCAATTCTAAATTGCAATACTTAGAGGCAGTGGACAATGCAGAATCAAGCATAGATAGAGCACGAACTCTGGTGACTACTCTAGAGAAAAAATGAAAAATGTACGAAGAAACAAATGAAAATAATTAATTTTGTAAGAACAAATAAAGATATTGAAATTTTCAGTTCGTGCTGTAATGTATTTTGCAATATCTCTTTATTAATACCAGCCATCATTATGAAGAAACTTTCTTTAATTTTGACATCAACGGATATAGTAAACTAAAAATGTTAGTCCCTAGAAGTTCATTATAAACGGAGTCGACAGTATATTCCATTAAATAGCATTTCTGTCAATTAGTGCATACACGTATTTAATTATGTAATAAATATTTCATTACATTTTCAATTCAATCATACATCGTATGTTAATCATCACAATTTGCCCTTATAATTAGTCAGAAATTATGTCAAATGTTTATCATTTTCATCACGTTTACTTTACTTGTACTGTAACTTACATATACAAGACCATAATTTACACTGTAGTAGTCGTATATGTGTGTGTGCCCTATTCATTTTTGAGCACAGGGGAACAAAAATGCTCACATCCATGGCACCGTAAGAAATGTAACATTTTTCTTTCATGAGACATTTTTCTTTCATGAAACATTTTTCTTTCATGATTATTGTACCTGTGGGACCTTCTCCCCTTTCGTGGACAGCTGTTCTTTATTTCTTAAGATTTAATGACTTGCCTCATTAGTGAGTCATCTTGATGACTGACTACATACTCTCTCATCTCTATTGCATTGTGCCAGGAGGCTTCAATTTGTCTGAAGCCTATTTCTCCTTCCTTACGTGACACTTAAAGTTTATGTAAATTAGCTCGAGGGTGGGCGACATGATAAATTATAAGCATTTTTCTTGTTTTTTTCGATCCATAAATCGAATTTCTTGCTCAGTCCAGTCCATTAGTCAGAAACTCTATTCGACTACATGCATCGCCAAACTACCAATGGCAGATATTTTATTCCTGGAGTACAGGGCGGACTGCCGGACGAATCATACTCTTCTGTAATACTCCCTACGAATTCTCTCTTTCATTGTGTCGTCCAGATGGTCTCACGTTCTTCACAGAGTGCACTAACATTATCACTTTGTGTCTCTTTAAACTGAGTTTTGTACACTTGTTAAGACCAAACTTCATGCAGATGTTATTGCGTAAGTCATTCATCACAGACAGCATTTGGAAGAGAATCACGTCATTTTAAGCAAACACTTTAAGATAATCCTTGTAAAACAAATGTAAAACTGGTCTTTAGCACCATGGAGCTTGTAACCAAAATCAGCTTGCGACAACCGTATAGATAGTAGGACTTAACTAATACAAAACGGCAGAAGGGATAGCGAATCTCATTGAAAAATATTTATTGTTTCTACTACTTCATTTCCGATGGTTATTAGTAACCTGGTACTCCACGACTTCATACTAGCTTTGCAAAACTCAATAAGTCTAGGATGCAATCGATGGATCTCCAGGGTCTTCAAAATCCAATCGGGTGGTACACTGTCAGAGGCCTTTTGGAAGTAAATTCAAGCAATACTTAAATTTCGTTTTCTTACATCATTCAAGATGACTTTTCTAGTAGCAAGATTTCCTTACAGACATAGGAACCTTTACGACATCCTCTCAACTGGTTCAACTGGCAACAGATGATTCTTCTTTAGGTGTTTGTACATTTCGTTAGCTATGGTTTCAGTTATAACTTTTTACAATATTGGAAGACAAGTGATTTGGCCATCGCCAAAGAACTGTCTCCCACTTTGGATAGCAGATAAGAAGTGTTGCGTGTGAGCCATTCCGGAGTTCCTTCGGGGTTTCAAACAAATTATTAAGAGCCTTTGCTAGATGAGAATGTAATGCTATTAATATCTTAATCCAAGAAACTTGGTTCTTAGATGTTCCGGGAGATTTCTAGTTTCCCATGTTCTTAATTGCTTGGAAACTTATTTTCCGAGAATTCGTGAACACGTTCCACTGTTTCCACGAGTCTATCGGCAGCGTCAACTTCAGACTGAACCAAGATGCGTCTTTGTTGAAGGATCTCCTGTCTCCCAGATGCAGTTATTCGTTTGATTGATTAGTGATTCCGGTCGCGTCAGCTGCTGAGGTCATTAGTCCCGTAAGTGCAGTGCATGTTTTCATCGCGGAGGTGGCGATGATTTTCCCTAGTTGGCGAGATCCAACGCCGACCTACGTCGGCTTGCAAAGATTTTCTTCAACCAGGTATCTTCCACTACCGGGGCACCGCTCCAGACGAGAAAAGACTCTTAAGCTCCCGGCATGTTTGTTTACTTAGTACTTGCTAGCTTTCCTCCCCCCTTCCTTCCTTCCTTCCTTTGTTTATTCATTTATATATATTATAAATACTTCTTAAAGTGAATTATATTTCAACTAAAGTTAATAAATGTCGTGTGTTTTTAGACAAAAGGAGAGAATAAACTTTTTATACATTTTAGAGGATGTTCTTTTAAGAATACTCTTCTCTTGGTAGTTTTTCTTGTTTCTTCAGATTGTTGCTGCAATAATGAGGGGTATGATTATTGTGTATATTTTATAGCTGTTGGAATTTAATTTAAAACGTTTTCAGTCACACTACATTTCTCTTTTTATAAAGGACTTCCATTGCTGGCTTCTCTATTAAAGGTTTTACTTTATTTCACTCCATTTCTAACCATTGTACAGTAAAAAGCAATGTACTCTTTTTTAGTGTTGCCACTGAATGCTTTCTTTTTGCAACAACAGATAAACCTCAATCTGTATTGTTGCAAAAATACATATTTAGAACTTTTTCTTAAAAAAAATACATAAATACATTAATAATATTTTTTTATTAATTTATTTTCTTTAATATTTCCATATTTATTGATGCCGTTTTCAAAAATTACATCTTATAATAATTGTAAAAGATGTTACTAACAAGACATGGAAATTGAAACAACAAG